TTCATTAGATTAGAATCTATTATAAATCTCTAGAATCTACGTCCTAAAATTAAGGTTCAAAGAACCAAAGTAGAAGCAAAATTTTGACTCGGGATTGTATATATATATATATATTAAATAAAAAAAAATACTATTAACACTTCAGAACAATCGTATATATGAATACATCAAATACAAAGAAAAACGCCTGTCTACCACGATTAAAGTTACATAGATGTTTCGAAAAGAAAAATAGTTTTATGACTTCAAGAATAAGATCCAATATAAATAAGATGCTTATATCAGCAGCCCCGGTAGTTGTTGGGACATAAATAATATATTTATAAAATGATAAGATATAATTTGCTAATTAGAATGTGTTACCAACAAAGTTAAACGTTTCGATTCTACATTAAGTCCTCCTTAGTGCGGAAGTCAAGTACCAACTGATTGTAATGTATCCTCTTATATGTACAATCAGTTTGTACTTACTCGACTTCTCCACTGAGGAGGACTCAAATTCAAGGTTGAAATAGTTGAAATCAACTTTGTTGGTAAGTGCACTCCGATTGTTTGCGAATTATGTCTTATCGCCTTATAAATATGTTACATTACTAACAACGCTTTATAAATATACGTATGTTACATTACTAACAACTACAGATGTTTATATAAACATTTTATATTTATATTTGTTTATATTGTATATTTGATAGAAGTAGAATTTTTCAATTTGATTTATAACATGTACTATTTACAATTATTCCACGAAAACAGTCAATTTCCTCGCGAATTTGACTATTTTCTATTCTGTTCTTTCTCTTTCGAATTCTCATCAGTGTCCTGCAATTCTCCCAGGAACAATGCTCTTTGCCGAGTCCTCGAGTGCGCATAAAATCGATCTGTACAATCTTCCGGATATGATGTACCTTCCGTCTCTGTGAAGTTTCCGTGCGCAAATCCGTATAGCCCGGACGTTTAACGAGTTTATTCAACCGCGTTGTGTCCTATTGTCTCGATGGTTATCCGCCACGAAATCGATATCCGGATGGGCCTTGGCGCTCGTCGATATCTATCTTGCGTGGAGTAATTCTCAAACATTCTGCAAACAGACCGATTACAAGGCAAATTCGTCATACAAAATATAAAAAAAAATGCATGCACATCGGTGATACAAGTGAAAGTTGAAAGACTGTATGAACATGTACTGTACTCTGAGGAAAAAATAGTATTAGCAATTAAAAAATTGAAGGAAAATAGTATTTCATTATAAATTACGAAATTGCGATAAAAATCAATAAATAAATTGAAAAAATACAAATAATATTAATTATTTGAAATACGGTTGAATGTACTACAAGAAAATAGTAAAATAATTGCATTAACGAAAAGTATTTTAAAATAAAGTGTTATTATGATATAATAATTTATTTTAGAAAATTGTATAAAGTTTATATAATTCAGACAAGATCTATATAATTTATGTATACATATATTAAAATTACTAAAACTATTTTATCGTCATAATGTGCATAATTATAATACATCTATATTTTTACGCTTCATAATTATTAAATCATGTGTGAATCTAATAGCGTAACGGAGAGTTTATAGCGACCAGTTTGTGTAATAGAAACCGATATATATATTTATACATAGATTATTATATTATAACCGAAATATATATACAATATATTTATATATAAATTATTGTATTATAATGAAAATAGAAATATAACATATATGATAAACATAATATCTTATAATAAATAGCAAATGAGCGGTAAAGTGACAAGTACGTTATTTGATATGCAAGTCATAATTTAATCATAATCATCTCATTCGCACAGGATTACGTTTCGCGCTTTCGTTATCTCGTGTGCCACGTCTTTATGCAAATTGCACGCGGTTGTTCTTACGGATGCACACGCGTGCGGATATACGTCTCACAAGCCAATTAGCGCGTTATCCCCCGTGGCGTATGACGACATGTGTTTTCCGACGGTGCGTCAACCCCGTCGGCGTCGTGTCGTATCTCGTGTCGTATACCCCTCGGAAAGGGAGAATATCGGTGCGATATCGACGCGCGCAAATTCTCGTACAGTCGACCTGCATACATATCGACGCTTTGGCGGCGCCGCGTGGCTGGAACTGCGCCGCAACGGCGTATTCACCAGGTATACACGTGCAATCCTGAGCGATCTGTCCTCGGCGATGTGGTGCACTCTCTTCCGAATGTCCGATTTCGAAATTTATGGTACGCCCGGTTCGCGCGCTTAACACACCACTCTATATGCGCCGCGCATTTCAATACGTCGTTATGCCGGTTGATTTGCGATGGAGACATTTACGTTCCTTATTCGCTTACAATGTCTTTCGTATAGGTTTTTCGCGAATAAAAATGTTTAATAAGTGTCACAAGTGCCTTTATGTACGTGGGTGGGTTTAGTTTTCTGTGTAAAAATAACACACTTCCCTCTGCAATAAATAGATTCATGCATTTAAATGTGTAATATATTATTTTTACACAGAATATTAAATTATACATTATATGAAGGCATTTATTATCCACTTGGATTTGCAATGACGAACAGATCTTGGTCTCATTATCAAATGCTTTCCATTTGACGTTGCAGTGACACAAGTCGACATGAACATCTATTTTTCTTCTATTTTTCTCGATATTCAGAGGGTACAAAGATAGAATGACACTTGTGTCAGCAAAATGAAAAGCCCTCACGATTATCAAGATTTGTCAAAATGACTTGAGCTCTTTCAATTTGATTGCAATTCGATTTCTAATTGTTTGAGTTATAGATTTAGTCGTTATAAGGCCATTCATAAATTAATAATTTTTCTATAAAATAATTTTTTCATTTAATAAACAATCTTCTTTCAATGTAACTATACATATGTAATTTTTTTTTTAATTATGGTCGTATGTTATGTCTATGCGTATAAGTTTGGTAATTATGTTGCAATTTAAATTTCAAAGGAGAGTTGGCTCCCGAATTTGTCAAAGAATAAGCGTCTGGAATTTAATGTGGGACTGCTACGTTTTCCTCTGTTCGCGATATGCATTTACTCGCCGCGGAATTTTGTTTAGAGCGGCGGGGTGATGAAAGCGGAGGATTAATATTCTGCCTCGAGAAATTCCAGTTATTTTCTCCGTTACTTCCATCCTGACAACGACGCACACAATACGTCACTGATATCGCGGTGCTTTCGTGATGGACGTTCGCCGTTTGGCAATCCATTTTCCGCGCATCTCTCGAATTTCATACGAAAACTTGTAATTATTTTCGACATCATAGGACCGTATGGAACCTCTTCATTAAAGGGTTCTGTGAAAAAAGATAATTAAAAGTTTCACGAGAAGCTTCGAAGCGTTCGTTTACAAACGCAACGGAGTATTCAAATTTCCCTGATGTTCATTCATTGCAATTATACAAGTGCTATATTATTCTCTATTTGTCACGTTTAGAGAAAGATTATTTGAATAATTTGAGAAAAGTTAAAATAAAGTAATTGGAAATAATACAGGATTAACAGTGAAGAATACAGATAAGTGGCATATCAAATATAGAGGACAAATTAATATAAATACATGGAAAATACACAATTTATTTTATAATTCATTTTACTTTTACACATTCTATTCTTGTTAAAATAGCCATTCAATGCTTCAATAGTTACTATCAATGGGATTGTTTTTTCAATTTTTTAAAATTTCTTATACATATAAATATAATGATATTGAAGGAGGAAATTTTTTTTCACTTTGTTCGTTTAAATTAACCTTTATTCTTCAAAATTTCAACATCCTTCCTGGCAAATACAATCGCCTTAAATATTATTTGTAATTTTGAAGAGTAGAGTGAAAAATAGATTTCGTCCTCTAATACACTTTTTAAGAAGATATTCTGCTAAAGAGGAGTAATATAATATTGCACTTGCTATAGTATTCAACGTATGATTTTAAGGACAGAATCTGTATTAAAAATAAACATGTTATTTATTTATATACATATTTATATACATATATATTAAATGTATATTTGCTGCATTATGTTACCATTTTTGCTATCAATAACTATTTATTTATAGACATACAACAATGAGAGGAAATATCATATTTTTCTGTCGAACATTTCTATTCCTGGAATATCGGTATTAAATTCATGCCTTCCCTAAGCACTTCTTGGACATATAGACGCTTTGTGTGTTTATATTTCCATGTCTCGTGGGACTTGTTACGTGACAAGAGCTGTGTCCCAGACAGCTAATAAGAATGGCCACTTAATTAAGGTGGACTTTAATTAAATTAAAGCCTTTAATTAAGTTGCAGTTAAATAGAATAAATCTTATCGTGACGTAAACACTAATATAAATTACTTAATTCCATGTGGAGAAAGAGGAGAGAGTAAGTTTGGGATGGAGGAGGAAGGCAATCTCTCTTTCACACAGCTTGCACACAAATGCTAATTGTGTCGTTGTAATTAGTTTGCATTTTAAACGGCTAGATAGAAGGCTTTTACTAGTTTCGTGATGAGAAGCACGCGAACGTTATTTTACGAATTTATTGTACTAGCAATATAGTTTTCCGGTGCATGATCACGTCAGAATGTACAGAATGTTTCATACATTATTTTTAATTTATAATGGGTTGGCAAATTAGTAGCTCATTTTTTCATAAAAATATGACGTCTAATGGTATATATTATAATATTTGTAATGAAAAATTTTGTTGAATTACGAGAACTAGAAGGCGATAAAACTATCTGCTGTTATCTTTTATTTTTACTAAATTGGAATCGTGTAATTAAGTAATGCGATAGCTAAACAGGAAATAAACATTGTATAAACGTTGCGTTGTTAAAATTAGAATGGTAGAACGTTCGCGTTGTAATTGTGGTGACGGTAAAAGTATTATAAAGATGCCAAGCTTTGTGAGTAATTGACTGCGTGTGCATACCTTTGTAACTAATTTCACTAATTCTAACCCCTTTTTCTCTTTTCAGACATGTCCTACAAACCGCGCCATCCCATTATCGAGGGTAAGTGTTTTCAATCATAATATACCTACGTAATACCAATGGTACGCTAATCTAAATCGCGGGAAACTTCTCATTCATTTGAAGCTCGACTATAACTATATTATAACTCTGCTACAAATGCACGCTATGATAATATTGATTTTCCAAACGAAAGATGAGAGAGAGAGAGAGAGAGAGAGAGAGAGAGAGAGTTCTGTACTTGTCTTTCGGACAATTCATTAGCTTTTTGTTAATAAAGGTATTAAGTAAGAGGATGGGTGGAATAAAGGCCTATAACTGAGAAATTAGTTAAATCATTTAGTTAAATCAATTAATTTCGTGTTTGGATATGGACAAACAAATTCTTGGTTGATACAATAAAATAATTTAGTTGAAGCAAAGCATTTGATTATTGTAACATTTTGTTTTTATTAAAGATGTCAATGTTTATCAGAAACAAGTAAAATGTTACAATAACCAAATGTTTGGTTTAACTAAATTATTTTATTGCATCAACTAAAAATTTGCCCATATTCAAACAAGAAATGGATTTCTCAGTGTAATTACAAAACCTTGATTTTAAAAATTAAAATAACTTGCTACTTTTTTATTATACACAAATGGATATATCAAATGAATTTATGTAATACACAAGCTTGTGCTTTTATTCCACACATCCATTATTCCCCTCAACTAGAATATACCACACTTCAAAATCAAGAATCTATTATTATTATATTTGTGAAAATTCACGTATCGCTTAGAACTATTTATTTTTCGAAATCATGTTGTATCGCACTTACTTAGCTTGAAATCGATTTTCGCTGAGAAATACTACGGATTAACGCTACACGATACATAAACGCTGCAAAAAAGCGAACGAACGAAATCGGCGATTTCCACTTCGTTGGTAATGTGCGCGCGAACAGAATTCGCCGATATGCTTTAGCAAAATGAGGTGGACTTCCTGGCGAAATCGCAGATTTAGATAGCCTGACACGCGATGTTCAGCGACGTGTTATTCCGAAGAATAACTCGACGAGAATGCGGGTCGAATGTTACCTTTCAAACGAGCAGTGACATGGCTCAATTACACGGAATGCGCGTGTGGCTTCGTGTACCGTGAAATTGCGTTATCGTCGCCAAAACGACCGCGACAACACACGTATTTCGCGTCCATGTTCGCCACAAATACCGTGAACGGCTCTTAAAGACGCATTTTTTGCCACTTCCGTGCGCGTGGCGCATTCGCGCCTCTTAACGACGTTTATCTATTTCGTTATTCCGCGCGATTAATTATAATCTCATAATTGTTTATGAGATCCGATCATAGAGAACAGTCATAAATCGATAAAATGCAACAACAATTTTTAATAGAAGTGCCAACGTTGCTAGAAGATCAAAAGAATAAATTATTGTGGAAATAAAGAAAGTGATGAAAATTCAAATATTTCATCAATATATAGAACATAATTATTGAGAAATAAAAAAATTTGTAAATATGTCTTGTATATAAGAAATATATAATATTATTAATTTAAATAATGAAAACCATCAATAATAATCGCTTGGTATTTTCAGTGTTAAGATATGAAATCGTCGATATTATAGGTCAGGAAGTTTTCCGAATTCGTTGTACAGATTACAAAATTCTTTTAGATAATTAAAATATGCTCAAAAAATTAGATGCGAGACGATCGATTTAATGAGAAGATTGAAAAAGTTTTAAGAAGAGCATTTAGTATCACTGTAATTTTTAAATCTTTTGGAATTTTCTCGTTAAATCGTCTTGAATATTTTTTTATGAGTATACATAATACGCTGAAAATTCGCGTATACAAATTTCATTGCTTGTCGCGTAATATTCAAAGTTCAGCAGAATAAAAAAGCGAAGTTGTGAAACACAACGTTTTAGGAAAATTCTTTTCGTGATGTTAAAAACTGCTCTCTTCCCACTATGCTGAGATCTCTGAAAGGTGTTATCGTAATTTCCGTCGGTGTCCGACTCAAATGTAGAAAATTATAGAAGCGAAACAAGGACGGTATCGCGAACAACGGGATATCAGAATTCTCGCATGTACTCAGAATTGCTTCGCTCTCCCTCTCTTCCGCATTTTACACGCGTGCACGATGCGCTGTACACACGCGTATATATTTGGGTAAAATACAAGCGCAAACAATCCTTAGTAAAACATAACACAGTGGAAAATTTCTCGCTTGGTACCAATGTTTCCGCCGGCACCCGTTTCCCTGCGGCGATGTACGTGCATCGCATACGCAGATATTGACACAGTCTACTTGGTATTACCGAGCACTCGTCTCCACGCCTTATTTTTCGTAGTCACTACCGAGGTAATCCCAAGTGGGCGCAACCCGCTTCCGGGCTCTCCAAACACGAAATTGCCCATCAGACTCGGGGTATCGGGTCCCTCGACTTCCATTCCTCTCTAAGTACTTACATTCGAATACGGGCTTTCTCTCGTCCCCGGAATATCTTGTCGCGCATCTTGCCTTTTCCCCTTGCGACTTAATCGAATCGCTACAATTTAGACTATCCTCTCGTTATCATGGACTACTCTCGTTACCATGCCTACTCTCGTTACCGTGTCTGTTCTCGTTATCGTTGGCTAACTCTCGTCAGCGGGATCCGTGATATCGCTCGCGTGGGATATGCAGGAATTATATATATATATATATATATATATATATATACATATATATTGCCTTTTTTCTCGCTCTCTCGCATTCTTTGATCAATCTGGAATTTGACGAATTTCTGAATTCGTCACGGCGTATTATTCTTTTAAAAGACGTAAAGTTTCCTGTTCTATATTTGAGCTTTTATCATTATTACATCATATGCAATCAGCACTTTTAATTGCTGCATGATATGCATTTTTCAAATATTTTGTGGTGAAAGAAGCGTGTAATTAATTATTCGAGCTATGTGGGATTTGCTCGATTTTTCTTTTCAATTTCTGAATGCCTTGATAATTAACTCTCAGATTCAATTTCAATTAGAGCAAGGCTCACTTTACGTAGTTTAAATAATCAGCTCCTTAATTACATTCTTGCAGCTTCACATTTGTTAGAAATCTCTCTTTTTTTCTCTTTCTCTCTCTTTTTCTCTGTTAATCAATTATTTATCTTTCTTTAATGGTTTCAATATTTAAAATATTTTTTTATACTTTTAAGCAAGAAGGATACGATGGAAAAATTACACAGACAATATTCTTCTGTATGTTTAATAGATTTTTATTCGAATAGAATTTTTTTTTACCAACTACAATTGTACAATAATTTCAATAAATTTAAATTTCATTTTCAACTGTTATGAAAGAACATCCAAATTTTAAAATGTTCTGTTTAAAGTACAGAATAGAAATGAGAATTTAGATTTGTTTTCAGCTAGTCACTATCGTACAATAATTTCGATAAGTTTAACTACAGTTAAAGAAAATTACACCTAAGTTCTAAAACGTTCTATTTGAATTACAAAATGTAGTAAGTGAATCGCCTTATAACGATTGATAGGAAAAGTTCATAGTTTCTTTATATACAATTTAGAACCTTACAGTATCAATCATACAAGATTGTACAACCGTCTAAAATTTTCGCTTCAAATAACCCCCGTTGCTGTAGTCGAGGGTTAATAACGATAGTATCTTCAACAATAGTGTATGTGTTAAGATAGTTTGCAACCTCATATTGCTGGTAATTAACATCGATGTTGTTATCGTTCGCAAGACTGGCTTGAATGGATACTATTAGATATATGTATGATACAATTAGCCGTGATCGTGTACGACAAGGGTTCATGCATTTGCTAGCATTTTTATTCAGAAATATTATACCACTGACCAATATTCGACCGGTCGATTATATGTGTACTTACGAGATCTTATATTTCATGCACATTTCGTGAAGCCACGGACTTACTTGCATAAAGTCTAATATAAGATAGCTGTTTGTAGCGATATAAAGCACGAAATTGGCTCCTTGCTATATGATATTGATTACATGTCATGTACTGTGTTATGTGCCTGTGCAATAAACACCATGTTTATATTAATATCGAAATTGCCTGTAACTCTTGCATCCTCTGTGACTACTATATTATGTTACGCTCGACGCGTTTATCAGTGACATGGTTGATTACATAGTTTGTCATAACTATTAATAAAAAATTCAGTTGAGAGAAATTGCATCAAATTAATAATATTCCTGTCGAGTAAAAGTCGCGTTACTTTTCTATTTTGCAAAAATGCATCAGTATGTAGATCTAAATAAAGCGTCATAATTAACTTTTTTAGAAACTGTTAGGAGTGACAAAAAATTTCTTATGATTGATTTAAAAGTTGAAAATGAAACTTTCGGAAGGAAATTAAAATACAAATTTTCCCGAGAATTAAAATGATCATTAAAAATTTAATATTTTTACAGAAAGATTGAATAGATGGCGTTTTTAATAAATAAATAATACTGTTGAATTTACAATGTTTAATTGTACTTAGTTTGAGTTATTTTTAATCATTTCTATAAGTTACCACTGTTCCTACTCGATATGTCATTAATTTAATTAAAACAATGGAGTACAATTTAATTGAAGAACGTGTATTAATTTCAACTCAAAGTTAATTTATTATTTATTAAGCGCATACGTTAATATGAACGTTGTTTACTTTGAAACCACAGAAATGGATTGATTTACATTTTAACACAGAGGGAAGTTAAAAATAATGAAATGCTATTTAACTGAAGTTTGAGTTACCATTGTTTCTTTGATATCTAACAACGAACAAATCTCAACGAAATTATCTCGTAAATTCTAATCTCTCTCTCTCTCTCTCTCTCTCTCTCTCTCTCTCTCTCTATTCATTAAATTTCTAAATAATTAATATTTTTACTTTTATTTTATTTATATTTTATATAGAATAAAAAAAATAGAATGAATCTGTATTTAAAAGAACATACTGTGTTTTATATAAATAAAAATCAACAAAGGCTCCTATAAGCTAAAT